GGTTGCCGCGAAGGTAGTCCTATTTGGGGTCCCGACTCGCCCGGCCTTTGTCGCCTACGCGGACAGGCGAAATTAAAACGCCTAGCGTCGTCATCATCCTATGTGAATGGGAACCCGAATGGTGTCAACCAGGCTAGAATAGTGATTCGATGGTTCATTTCCTTCACGTAGGTGAAACCTTGGAGTATAAAAAGCAGTCGAAAATGTAAGAACGTAGGAGGTGGGAAAGGATGTGAGTGAGAGCTGAGTAGGTGTACAGGAAATGCACATGAGCTCTTCCGAAACCGACTGAATTAATTTGGAAAGGACATTTAGCTTTTTGCTCTGGGTCACCATTTTAGGTTCATAAAAAGGTAGTTCTATACCACTTCAAATACTTTACGGGGCAAAATTTCAAAACCAAGCCACAAGTGCCGGCCATATGCTATTTTGTTACAAAATTATGATACGGCACGAAATGGCTTCATGGAAAAAGTAGGAACTCATCAAAATTTTTAATAGTTTTGATGCTTATTTGGCTTTTTCAACTCCTACGTGCACTAGTAAAAACAGCAAATTTTCTAATATTTGTTTGTGTCACTTAATCTATTAAAAATATATAGACCTTGCTGTTGCGGTTGAAGTGAGTTCCCGAGGGTGAGGTATCGCCTTGGTGATTCCAGCGGCCTGTTCTGTTGCAGAAGAATGCTTTCGCTAGCAGATTACTTCATATTTGACGAGCACAGCGTAAAATATATCATTTCGGGTTTGCTCGGGGCTTACACAGCCTATTATATCTTTGCTGCTCGTTCGGTACTTATTATATTCCTTCATCTCAATGCTCGTTTATCTAGCCTCCCGTGTTGTACGGTCACTCTCGGAAACTTGTGGATTTCTTTTGCTCATACGTTCCTTTCCTTAGTGAAGTTTACTCGCCTTTTGTTTTCGGTTTTACTGGTCGAGTGCAGACTATACTGAGACCTATATTCCATCGTGCCGAAAAGTGCAACTACGAAGAGTACGGTTTTGTTAATTTGCATCTCACCATCCGTTAGAGAAGTTATAAGCTTTTCAGATGGTGGGGATATGACGCTTTCGTGGAGTAACATTGAGGGAATGGCGGATGACACACCGATCGCTGTTCTATTGCCCGGTCTAACGGGTTGTGGTTGCTGCCATTATATTGCAAGCCTGGTTAAGGAGATTAATCGATGCGAATACAGGTAAAAACTCTGTTCCCTACTATTTTCTTGTAGATGTGTCGTTTCAAATAACCGTGGAACATGCCGTCACAAGCTGAAGGTGAGTATTACTAGAATTGACGTTTTCATTAGATGTAGACGCCTCGGACATACTGCGCTGCCCACACATCTGATGTAGCCTCAGTATTTGACCACATCCGAAACCGATACCCAGACGCACCAATGGTGGCAGTGGGTATATCTCTTGGGGCGTAAGTTGCGACCAACTTCTTGCATTTCATGGCAGATTCTACAGATTCTTTGACTGTGGATCATAGTTATGTGGTATAATCATAATTCGTTGGTTTGTCCGGTTTGTTGGCTCTTTTTGAGAAGCCTTTTCTAGTCTTATATCTTTTTCTGTCATTATTAATTTAAATTTGAATCGCCGCTGTATATTCTCTTATTTTGAGTGCAACCCTATGTTTTTTGTGCTTGTTATCAAGTTTTAAGTTGGAGCTTGCTTTATTATAAATGTACATAGAAGGACTGACGTGTGAGGTGACTAGAAGCAGAGTTCAATGGTGCTCAAATATTGGGGAACTGAAATAGTTTGCATAGTTAGTTGTATAATTAAAAGAATGCTGTTTTCCCATTTGTGCTTTATTCTTGGTACTTTCTGTGGTTTGCTTTCCAGCGCAGTAACTCTCTACCCTGTTATGAGTGTTTATTTACTATGTGTTGCTTAAGGCTCGACAAAGCTTAAGCTAGACAGCGTATTTTGCTTGTTAATTCTCTTTCGGGGCAAACATTTATTTTAATGCGGGATCTGTTTGCGAAAATGAGTAACTTTTGGTAGCATCCTGAATCATTGTTCTGTTACACTTATACCCTAGTTTCTCAGTAGGGTTAGTCCCAGCACCTTGCAATGTGGGAAGCATCGAGTTTGCAAATCCTCTCCGTAATTCACGGTCGTCATACAATCTCGCCATTGGCTATTATGCAGTCCATGAGGTTTGGGTGATTGTCAGAAGTCGCCATGGTTTTCGGAATTCTTCTGTTGTCTCAGTTATTCGTATTAGATATTCCCTTTCACTTATCCGTTGACATCGGGTTTATTCATAATAGTAAGGGATATGCAAGTACTGAAGTAGCCTTATTATAAATCCTGAGAGGGGTAGAAGTGAGACGATTTGGGGAAAACTTTTAATTATTATATTTGTTATAATAATCTTAATCCACTTTTCAAGAGAGAAAAGCCAGTTGGAAATAACGCCTGTCCGAATTATTTTGTCTTAGAAGCTAATAAAAGGTAGTTCCAGCTACTTCCTTTTCCTCTTGTCGTTTCTGCAAGGAATGATAAGGGCCATTTGAAAAACCGTGTGAGAAATGGAATTGGTAAGGTGGGCCGTTGTACTGTGTTACCTGTTTTTGTAAGAAGAGGGCTTTGTTTCGACTGATGAACAGTTTAAGCTGATTACAAAGGATTTCGTGTTACGCTTATAAGAATCAGATGAGATTTCGTGATCTGAAGTAGTAAAAAATAGGAGGAAAGTGATCCAGACTACAGTAAAGACTACCGCATCAATCCAAGACCGATGAACATCCACCTGGTCTTTATGACAACGGCATATCAACACATTTGTTTGTATTTCACATCAAAAATCCATTTCAACCCTTTTCTTTGCAATTTTCCTCTGAATTTATCCAATGACAGTCCTACATTGGTCCAATGGGAATATCCATTTTTAGCCTCCTTGTCTTCAACTACCTGGCAGACGAACCTCAGGACCCCAGCAAGCCCTGTCCTCTCACCGCCGCAATGTGTGTGTGCATGCCTTGGGATGTGTCACAGACGTCTGACAAGTTGGAAAAATCGTTGGACTGGCTCCTCTTCAACTACCCTCTCACCCATGGCCTCCGTCGTTTGGTCATGCGAAATGCCGACGTGCTGTCAAAGAAGTACGATGTTCCACGCATTCTGAAGGTAGGTCGTTGATTGCATTGTAAGTAGGCCAGTTTCCTCCAAAGGTATATTTTCAAACGTTTTGAGAAACCGGTCGCTGAATGTACACATGTAGCGTGTCCATCTAAACCCCAAAATATCATATATGACCTATTTTGAAAATTGCTTAACTTGTTACGACTTTGAGAATATCATGAATTTTTGTATCGTCGTTTTTGGTTTGATATTATCTCTTAGTCAAGCAAGCAAATAATTGCGTGCGGGTGTTAGTCTGACTGAGTCATGCATGCATTAAAGGGAACTTGTGTACTTACCCTCCTATAATGAAATGACGGTTAATTGTTTCTGTTGAATCATTCGAGCTTATCTGCTTTACGAAAAAGAGTTTTACCTGGTTCCAGAATCGCAGAACCTTCCTGTGAAAGCTTCCTTACCTTTTTTGTATGAGCGATAATTTTTGCGTCACCCTTAAGGCTAGATGCCTCACATTACATTGATAAATCTCTCTATTTAGAGGCGGTGACGAAGTGATTAGATGACTAACACTTGCTTCAACTGAGCAGGGAAAATCGTGCATACACCAAGGTAATCGGTACCGCATTGAGGCTGAGAAATTATCAATTGTTCATCCCCCACTTCCTTCCCGTAAGTGGTAAAAAAGTGTCGTGCATGTTGGATTGTTTACTGAATAAGTGGACCACTGACTTGTGATAAGAGGGTTGGTTTTGTACGCATCATTGGTCATACACTCATGATCCTCTATCCACCACACACTTCTCCGGCACTCATTACTTCACCCCCAGAAGGCTATGCTTGCTTTGTCAGTGTGCAATCGACTGCAGGTGAAGCTGTTCACTTGCTGAAGACAGAAAGCAATTCCATTCGAGTTTCATCTATCGATAAAGTACATTTTCAAGGTTTATGGGTAAAGCTCCTTTTCCAGAAACACACAGGAGTAGCTAATGAATCAAAGAATGGCCTATTTGTTACAAGACCGCGTCATGCACATATTACAAAACGGGTCTGTTAGATGACCCCATAACGCACTTTAGGGTGGGATGGAGAGAGCGAGGAAGAAGTAAAGGGGGGAGAATTGCCCACCCCATTCTCCATATTCTCTTCATGTTGCCCCAGGTAAAAAACCATCACCTCGTATGGTGGCACTTACAACTGTGCAAATAGATGGGATAGAGGGGGAAGTTTTTTCTTCTAAGGACAAAATAAGAACTCCATCTGTTGCTTGTCTCGTTGAGATAGAATTACTGAGATCGTTTAGTCGAAGTGACTTCTCATAAAACACGAAATTATTCGATTACCCTGGAAAATGGACGTCCTCTAAACTAGTTGCCACTGCACCGTACCGAGTCTCCTCTGAGGTCGTAACATCCTCTGAAGAGGAGCTGGAGAGGCTGCCAAAATGCTCCGAAGGCCAAATTGCAGAGCGGATCCACAATTTGCCCAGACTGGAGTGGTCACCACAGCTAAAGTAAATATCAAATCCCTACAATTACTTTGTCCATTGCATGTTGAGGGTTAAATCGTGCGTATGACGCATTTAGTTGAAATTTATGCAAATTAGAATTTAACATTGCTGAGCCTGAAGGTAGGGCTTAAGTTCTCCAATTCCCTGAGAAATTCTGTCATGAGGTGGAGATTACATTAAATTTCTCTTATAGGCCTCCAACTCTGTGGCAGCGATAAAAGTGATGTTTGTTTGGAACTCTTTTGAGGTACTCCTGACTCAATAATGCTTTATTGTCATTTTTGAGTAGTCGAAATTATGGCGGCATTTCATGGTATTTTCAGTTCATGCAGCCCATCACCTGTCCACCTGATATGCTCTACTGCCATATTACTACCATTTATTGCGATTTTGAAGTTGGCACGTCCTCGTTGTAGTTTTTCACCTCTCCAATCGTTTTTTTCCCTGGTGTCCTCTAATGCGTACTTTTGAAAGACCTTGCATGTAAATATTAGCTGTTTTCAAGGTCACTGATCATCAAATGCAAGTTGTTAATGTTTAACCACCCATGTAGACAACGCGAACTTAACAGTTTCATGAATATTGTTTTCAGTCCTCATTCGGAAGACGTCTTTTTTCCCTCTTGCCTTTTCCTTTTTAAAATATCTTTAACAATTATTTGTGTTGAGGAGATTTCCTTAGTGGCCAGTGAGCAGCTAGCTACGAACAACATATTTGTGTGATCTTTTTTCCCCTAAAAGTCAAGAGGCGAATGCTAGCTAAATCCAGGTTCAGTCACCTGCCTCTCTGTTTCGTTTCCTGACTTCTAAACTGCATGTTCAATTGAGCATGTGAACACGGGGTCACGAGAAGGTGAGATTCACACGGAGCTTGGAGGAAAAAAATAAATGAGAAGAGGGGGAGGGCTGAGCCGAGTCAAGGTCCCCTTTTCAATAGTGATTTATGAAGTCGCCTTTTACTTCCCCCCGTAAGAAGACCATTTTTTTAATCACTTATTTAACTACTCCTAGTTGTTTATGAAAGCGAAATGGTTCTTACCCACCTCGCAAAGCAGGCAAATGAATATTGGCGATTCTCTTGTTACGGTATGGAAAAGTATCCTAGGTCTTTCCCCATTCAACACCCTTTTTCGTTACTTTGGTGGTTGTTAAACAAATAATTTGATTATTTGAAGTGTTTACAAAATTCAAGGTCAAGTTTAAAAGGCTGTAATTGATTGGTTCCTATATGTGACGCAAATTGATGGCTTAAACGTCATCCCAACGAAGCCTTTGTCATTCATTCGATTGGCATTTTTTTGTCCTGGTAACTTGCTTACATTTAATTGAATATTACCCTCTCGCCACTTGAGGTAATCCTTTTTGAGTGGGGATGTAGGGGATATAGAGGTGAAAATGGTTTAATATTAAGGAGAGTGATACAGGAAAGACATTTTTTTGCCATCTTTGACGTCGACTCGCAATATTAAAAGGTATCCAGGATCATCCAGGTGGCCTTGGCTGCTTTGGCTTTTTTTTCATTCAAGGGGTACGCTTCAATTTCAGATGTTGTGGTTCAGGTCGAAGTGATGCAATAAATACAGTCCCAAAAATGCGATAAAGTCTAGCCGACGGAAATCGTCAGGTAGCTGAAATAAATCTTGAGATTTTTGTTAAAACTGTGTGGAAGTACTTGCTGTACTATGTAGGGACTTGTGAAATGCCGACATTGGAAAGCCTAGGTGGATATTTATCAGTCCTGGATCGGTGCAGTACTCTTTACTGGGGGCTGGACCAGATGTGACTCGAATTCCTGTATAATTAGCTTGAACTTGTCAATCCTTCGAAGTGAAGTCCTATTCTTACAAGACAATGCAACCCAACGCAATATTTGGTGTAGAGGGATGGGAAGGAGATACTATCTCAGCCCAGCCCACCTCACCGCACAGCTGTTCTTTGGTTTCCCACATACTTTTTTCGGCTGACTTTTACATTTTCTTGGAATTACGCACTCCACTCACGCAATAGATGGTGGAGAAACGACCACGGGAAAAGGAGGTAGCTGGAACACTTTTTTGGTGAAAAGTTGAATCTTGGTGGAGGGGGATTGCAGATTGAAACACATTTCAAGTGCCTCATAAGGGAATAATGAGCTTGTCTACTCATCAAACATTCTGAGTTGGCAATCAGGTGGAAGGAAGTCCAACTACCCAACATTCACTTATTGGATGAAATAATCTTCAAGTTCGATATCCCCCAAAGAAGGAAATAGGTGAATACGCTTTTTGACATTCATATTTTTGCTTGATTACAAGTAAGCATTCTCCTTAGGTTTGTCGCGTAGCATGTATCTGGATTACTTTGCAAGACTTCTAGTATTGACATAATGCTCTTCACTGTCACGATGACAGTACGTGATCCAACCCTATTTCAATTCGAATTGACCTTATAGTTAGGTACAGTGGTACCACCTTCTCTCGACGATCAGGAGAGGAGATACTCGATTTATTGTGCACCCTTTATGACTGCTTTTAGTTCCACTTCATAGTTAGGTAGTTAATGTAGTAAAAAGGAAGAAACAAATAGATGGCAGTAAAAAAGGAGTTGTTGAAAGTGGGAAGATAGTTGTAGTATAAGTTAATGGAGTTATCCCGCATTCTTTGTTCTCTTGTGTGGATATTTTTAAAGAGACTTTTAACTCTGTCTGCCGTGCCTGTCGGAACTTGGGCTACTCGACTGTTAAGGCACTTTACGAGGCGATTTACGGAGGATTCACCAGTGGTGCCGATTTTTAGCAGCAAGTGACGTGACATGTAGCCTGTCGAGGGGCTTTAAAGAGGTGCCCCACCCCGGACGCGGTTCTATTTATTTCCAGTGATGTATTTGGACATATCCTCTTTATGCTGTTCTTCCGAGCGTTGTGAAAGTTAAATCATGGCTTTTACACGAAGCTATGGATGTAGTTGCTGGTTGCATAATGAAATATTTTTTATTTGGTTGAGCAATGATTTGCACAGAGGAATGGTTTGAGGTAAGAAGTTTAAGCCATCCATCCATCCGTCCGCCATTTCTGACCACGTTCCTACGAATTAAAGCAACATGCGAGGGCAACGACCTCGGAGTGTTGCATAGTTTTGACGAAGTAGTCTCAACGAAGGCAAGCAAATTGATCTTCATCCTATCCACAATTTCAGCATATCTATTCACCTCCCTGGAATGCATGGAGCTGTTAATTTTGAGGGTTTCAAGGCGACGTCACTTATCTACGCAGCACATCGTTATACTGCTCTCTTGTGGTGATTAGCTGTCAAAAGTGAGACTACGCACACACCTTTGCGATAAACTGACATGAAATGCCGTCTGTGAGACGACTAAGTGGATGGTAGCCATCTCTTCCACCTCACATTATTCTCATGCTGTTTAGCGTAGCGATTGCCCTGTACACTTGGTTCCTTTGCTAACGTAGATAAAAATTGCGTTGTTTTGCTTGTAGACTTAAAAAACAGGTCTCTGATTTCAAGAATGGCGCCAGAGACCACCAGGATGGCATTTAGTCATTTCCGCGATTCTAGTGACGCCATTGCACGCTTGCCGCTTTTTTTGGTGCGGTACAATCGTAGTGACTATTGTCAGACGCGTCCGGTTAATCTGTCAGGTAATTGGAAAGCTTGGCGATGAAGTTAACGATGTGCCAGTAGTAGAATGATCAGGAGAGTTCCCACCCCCACCGATAGCCACTGATTTGTCTATCTGCATCTCGGGTTTATGTAAACAAAACTGGTGAATCTTGATTTCGGTTTCGAAATTTTTGGAAGGAAAAAACTAAAACCTTTTAGAATTTTACTCTAATTCGTACGTGTATCTTTGATTTGTGAAGTCATTTTCCATGAATTTATTCCTCTATCGGTCCATCTATCTTGCGTTTACCCATTCCGTGCCTCCACCTGTGAACCACCGGTCAACCCACTGGTAACCAGATCGTTGGCTTTTGATTCAACTAGGTGTTGTTGATAATGGGGCTTTATCGAAATATATGAAGTATATTGGATCCGTGGACTGGAATTGGGCTCCAAGCGGAATGAGATTATTTGCAGACAACGAAGGGAGGGGGATTATCCACCTCTGTCGCTGAATTCAAATAAGTAGCATCAGTTGTAATTCCTGGCATTGATGACAGTGATGACGCCCTCCCTCTGTTTAGAGTCGCTCTGTGCGCGAGTTCGACGAGAATC